AAGAAACAGTCACCTACATCTTGGATGCCCTGGGGGTAAGCAGATAAACATCACATTTTCATTTTTGGGTGAACTATCGCTTTAAGTGTGTGTTTTGTGTTTCTACCTAAGGTTGTAGCACTTTCATTCATAAATGTGAACTAACAAAGGTAGAGGGCAACTGTATTGTTGGCTATTGCTACAAATATACCCCAGCGACTTAAGACTGCTTTTGTGCTCCAGGGTCATATATTCTGTTTATATGGCCTGTAATTAGTCTGTTGAGTTTAACATAATTGTATGGTATTGTGCATAATTGTGATTGTACAGTGCTTACATAAATGCCTCATTCATTCATAAAATGGTTTGTTTGTGTTGAATTAAAACCCAAAACTGCAGCAGGTCCACCAGACCCATGAACACTGGCTAAATAACAAAATATGAACACCACACAAGGGTTAAAAGCACCACTAGATGGAGCCGCAGAACGACACAAAGCTGAGACGCAGAGAGCGAGCAGAGATTGCTGTGAGACAGACGGACCTCGTTGATGTCCACGTGTCCGTAAGGAGGCTTGCGGTGCCGGTACATCCAGAAGCACAGCAGCAGCGCCATCGAGAGCATCGTGACGGGCAGCAGAGAGCAAACCAGCAGGTTCAGGAGCACCGGCGCCGGCGGAGGAGGCTCGATCACTGACAGAGACAAACAACAACAACATCCTTCTAGTACACAAAATACATACTTTAAAATTACACAAATTAATGACTATACATAAAAACAAATACAATAAATTTATTAGAAAATATATATAACAAATACCAACCTAAATAAATATTTTATTTCAATAATGATGGCTACTGAAATTCATTATTATTAATAAAATAAGTTATATATTAAAGTAATATACATTACATTTAATAAATACAAATTAATTCATTTTTAATTCAAATAATGTCTATTGACTAATAAATACATTATATAAAACTAAAATGAGGGAACAAATTAATAAATCGAACGAATTCTTAATTCATGGCCATGAAATCTTTCATTTCCCTCAGATGCGAAAACAGTGATAAAAAGTGAATGACAATAAAATAAACCTGCGAAATTAGAGGGTTAGACGGTGAGGATTCAGAGCTTATAATTTGTAAATAAATAATTGCTGGATTCAAAACAGCAATTAAAAGGCGCTGTGACCGACACTTGACAATACGTTTTCCCGGAGCATCCAATGCTGTCACTAAACAAACGGTGATGCCACAACTAAGAGCATCGTTCACAAGTTTCTGCAGGACCTGACTAGCCTAGGGCACAGGTTTTCAAGCTCTGGGACAAAATGGGATGCTTTAAGGAAAATGTATAGCCTATGTAATAGGCCTAAAATAAAAATAACAATTTGTTTTCATAAAAAAAAAAAGACGATTAATCGATTAATTGATCGTTAATTTAAACGACGATCGATCATGGAAATGATCGAAAATTGACATCCCTAATTCAAATAATGTCTATTGACTAATAAATAAAATATATAAATATATAATATAAAATAAACAAGTAAACAAACAAATAATATAAACAAACAAACAAGCAAATAAATAAATATTTTATTTCAATAATGATGGCTACTGAAATCCATTATTATTAAAATAAGTTATATATTAAAAAGTAATATATATAACATTAAATAACTACAAATTAATTAACGTTTTAATTCATATGTCTATTGACTAATAAATAAAATATATAAATATATAATATAAATATAAAATAAACAAGTAAACAAATAATATAAACAAACAAATAAGTAAATAAATAAATAAGTCTACTCACAATATTTGCTATGTTCTCATGGTTTCAACATTTTATCTGAAATATCTTAATGACTTCAAGAAAGCATCTGGACAATTTATCATTCTTATTATTATTCTTAATAACTGTATAGCTTTATTATATTTAGTCACATTTGCTCTGAAATGTCTTAATGAGTTTATGAAACACAAAAACAAAAATAATACAGCATTACGAAAATCACAATGTGTCTAATGGTCAAGAAAATAATCCTAATAGGTCCAAAAACATGGTTATTTTCTTTATGCAGAAGATGTTTGTTTTTCTTTTTCTTGTGCGTTTGGGTGAAATGTGGTCTTTTCTTCTTGAATCCAGCAGCTGGCCTCAGCGTGAAGCACGGTGTGAAGCACACTAGATACACAGAGGTTAACCGGTCGAAAACAACTCGTTTAATTAACCAGGGTCAGAAAAGGTGGAACGTGTTTATGAAAAACTACAATATGGAACACAAAACATCAGCTAAGTGGAAATAAATAAACAGCTTCATAAGTGTGGAGCACAAGCTCTTTGTTTCTGTGGTTTTTTAGGGAGCAGCTGATGACTCTGTAGCGAACAAGAGAGAACTAGCCAGAGGCTCAGCATCAGCCACTTATTAAAAGATTACTTCATTTTATTTTTATACTCGTATACAGTGTTGGGGAAAGTTACTTTTAAAAGTAGTGCATTACAATGTTGCGTTGATTAGTGGTCGACCGATATGGGTTTTTTGACAGCCGATGCCGATATCTTGGAAAGCATGGTGGCTGATAGCCGATATAATTGTATTTATTATAATTAATATTTAAGAAATTTGAAATCATTTGAAAATGGATTAAAAATTATTGTGTAAAATAAACATACTTATACATTAGAAGACAAAGCATTTTTCACAAATAAATAAATATTTAATAAAAATATAATTGAATAGGACGTAAACACTGTATGCAGGATACACATGCACACTTCACAAGATCTCAACTAGATTCGACGAAGTCTGCAAGGTTTGTGAAATTAAATGTTCATTAGTCGTTCAAATATTTGTTTAAATTAAATTAATGCGCATTTGCTGAATGCTGACGGCAAACGAGAAAGTATTATAATGTTTGCCTTTCTATTATTAATAATATTAAATCAATCGTTATAATACTTTTTTGTATACATTTTAATTCATTTGTTTAACAGTTCTATCTGATTATTAGATCAGATAGAACTGAGGGAGAATGTGAGCGCTGTGTGTTCAGGCGCTGCAATCTCAGCGCTGTCAAAATAAAAGTCCCACCTCGAACACATCGGCCAAACAGAAAAACTTATCGGCCGATGCCGATATTTGAAAAATGCCAAATATACCACTATAAAGGATATTTGTGTTGTTTAACATTTAATTATTGCAGGTTTGCGTCATATTCTGAGTTGCGTTATTTTTATTCATTTTGAGGAATACTGAATCTGTGTTTTTTTTTTTTGTGAGTGAGATGAATTAATGCATATTCATATTTCTTTTAGAACTACAGTAACATCTTCTGATTTCTGTCACCATGGCAACACCAGAGCGGTCAATCAATAAATTGGAAAAAAAGTAACTTGCGTTACTTATTTGAAAAAGTAACTCGGATATTCTCTTGTAAATTAAAAAGTATTGCGTTACTTCACTAGTTACTTGAAAAAAGTAATCTGATTACGTAACTCACGTTACTTGTAATGCGTTACCCCCAACACTGCTCATATACAGTATGTATGGTATTCATATCATAGAAATATTTATGTATATATACACTACCAGTCAAAGGTCTTTGAACAGTAAGATTTTTTGTTTTTTAAAGAAGTCTCTTCTGCTCATCGAGCCTGCATTTATTTGATCTAAAACACAGCAAAAGCAGTAAAAATGTGAAATATTTTTACTATTTAAAATAAGTGTTTTATATGTGAATATGTGTTAAACTGTAATGTATTTCTGTGATCAAAGCTGTATTTTCAGCATCATTACTCCAGTCTTCAGTGTCACATGATCTTCAGAAATCATTCTAATATGCTGATTTGCTGCTCAAGAAACATTTATTTTTATTATTATTATCAATATTTAAAACAGTTGAGTATATATTTTTTTCAGGATTCTTTGATGAATAGAAAGATCCAAAAATTATAGAAATTAATACTTTTATTTAGCAAGGATGCTTTCAAAAAATATTACGGTTCAAAAACCTTTGACTGGTAGTGTATATACGATTATTTACAACATATCTCAATATTTCTACATCTATTTGGTTTTAATATATTTTAACTTTTGTAATCTTTTTTTGTTTTGTTTTTACATTTTTTGCTAATTTTATTTCTGAAGCATCTGTTCTGATAATTTTATGATTATTTTAAAATCATTTTTATGTAAAGCTCTTCGAATTACTACAGTGTATGAAATGTGGTTAGACGTAAAAATAAATAAATGTGCCTTACGTTTGCTCTGAAATATCTAAAACGAATAAATGGGTAAAAAACCTGGAATACATAAAATTACTGAAAAACAGAACAAAAATATAATTAAACATTTTTTTAAAGTAAAATATCTAAAATTACTGAAAAGCAGAACACATAGAAAAAAGTTTAAAAAGTAAAATATCTAAAAATTAATGAGGCAAAACAAAAATAGAATAAAAAGTTTAAAAATAAATACAATTAATGAAAAGCAGAACAAAAATAGAACAAAAAGAGTTTTATAAATATCTAAAATTAATAAAAAGCAGAACAAAAATAGAATTAAAAAAATAAAAAATATCTAAAATTAATGAAAAGTGGAACAAAAACAGTAAAAAATAGTTTTAAATAAATAAAATGAATGAAAAGCAGAACAAAAAGTAAAAAATAGTTTAAAATAAATAAAATTAATGAAAAGCAGAACAAAAATAGAATAAAAAGTTTAAAAATATCTAAAATTAATGAAAAGCAAAACAAAACTAGAATTAAAAATAGTTTAAAAAGTATCTAAAATTAATGAAAAGCAAAAGGAAAAATAGTAATAAAATAGACATAAACAAATAGAATAAAAAGATTAAAAATATCTAAAATTAATGAAAAGCAAAAGGAAAAATAGTAATAAAATAGACATAAAAAAATAGAGTAAAAAGAAAAAACTTTGTGGAAAGCAACAAGATTAGCATGTTTTACTTGAGTTGCATTACGCATTTGAAATCTAATTAATGGCCACAACGACTCGTCTGGTTTAAACGCAATCAACTGAATCGATGTCACTGTACCTTTAACTCTACAAAGCATCGTCGATATCAACAGAGGTCTGGTTTCCGCAGTGAATGAATTCAGGCCAAACATTAAATAACGAGTCTGAAGATGCAAGATTCATTCAAAGATTTTCCTTCTTAGAAAGACACGCAGAGGCTTCGCTGCAATGCATCATGGGCCGGAAATCTAATATCATCTACCTATAACTCAATCCCACACAACTCAAGGTCAGAACGCATTCACCTCAGCTTACTAACTCCAGCCCACAGAACTATAGACGTATAGAAATGCACATTTATGAACCAATGTTGTCATAATTTTTCATAATTTCTCGTCTCATAAATCACATGAAATGAAGATGAGAGCTGCTTCAGCTGGAAAAAACACTTAAAAGCACTTTAAAATGAAGCTTACTTGGGTTTTGGAGATTTTTAGGCAGGCAGATTGTTAAAAGAGGAACTTTTAAAGACGCTTTTGAATTAAGAGCCTCTGAGTTTTATATAAGAGTAAATATATAGATACACACCTGCAGTGTTATTTTACCATCACTGATATACTATTATAGTTTCTGTTAATATTTTGAATTTAATTTTTTATTTACAAAGATTACATTTTTACATTTTCAATTTAATTTTAGTACTTTTTTTTTAAACTATTAAAATTTAAATTAATGTATAAAATGTCTTATTAGTTAGCACATTTAAATAAATTATTATTATTAATGATGCAGTGTGATTTTAGTAACATTTATATACTAATATTTGTGTCAATATTTTTTTATTTACATATATATTTTTTTTGCATTTTCAGTTCAATGTTTTAGAAAGTTTTAGTAATTTTGTTTTGTTTTTGTAATTTTTATTTCGTTTTTATTTACATATTTTATTAACATCTTCACTTTAATTTTAGTAAGCTTTTAAATTTATGAAACTATTATTACTACTTTTCTTCTAATTACATACAAAATATAAACTTATATAATTATACATTTTAATTATTAAATACATTTAAATAAAATATTATCAATGATGCAGTGTTATTTTACTATCGCTGATATACTATTATAATTTTTTGTCAATATTTTGAATAAAATTTTTTATTGACAAAGATTTAATTTTTCAATTTTCAATTTAATTTTAGTACTTTATTTATTTTTTTAACTATTTTATATAATTATACATTTTAATTATTAAATACATTTAAATAAAATATTATCAATGATGCAGTGTTATTTTACTATCGCTGATATACTATTATAATTTTTTGTCAATATTTTGAAGAAAATTTTTTATTGACAGATTTAATTTTTCAATTTTCAATTTAATTTTAGTACTTTATTTATTTTTTTAACTATTAAAATGTAACTAAATATATATTAAAAAATTATTAGTAAAACATTTAAATCAATTATTATTATCAATGATGCAGTGTTATTTTACTATCGCTGATGATATACTATTATAGTTTTTGGTCAATATTTAGTATTTTATTTTTAGTTAGATATTATGTTTACATTTTCACGTTTTAATAATTTTGTTGTGTTTTTGTCAATTTAACATTTTTTTTCTTTATTTTTTATTTATTCGTTTTTGTTATTTCGTTTCAGTTATTTTAGTAGTTTGTGTCATTTCTTTTATTCATTAGTTTTAGTTTTATTAATTTTAGTACTTCAAGTCCAATCTAAACTAAACTAGCTAAAATTCAGTTAATATTTCCTTTTATTTTAAGTAATGCGTTTTCTTTCAGTGGTTTCAGTTTCCTGTAATAAGCCCTGATGAGTGGCGGGTTAGTTCAGATGACTAGTACTAGTCAAGCGCCGCACGACTGACCTGTCGTAGCAGTTGAAGTCATCTAGCCAGCAGCCCTTCTTGACGAGCTCGATGCTGCCGGAGCTGTTCCTCCAGGAGGCGTAGCAGTGCGAGCGCTTGTCCTTCTCTCCCTCACAGCGCTCCACGCCGCTGCGGTTCGTCTTCTCCACCTCCCAGTTAATGTTGAAGTACAAGCACTCGCGCGTCTCCACCTCGGCATGACTGGGTCCTGAGCAGATAAACCACAAACACTTAGAATCACGTCAGAGATAAAGTCTGAGTGTCACTGACCGCCTAAACGACAATAATCATTATTATTAGTATTATTATTTAAATACAATATAATTATTGTATTATTAAATAATTATGTATAAAAATACATTATGTAAATACTTCTACTACCACTATTATTAAATACATGTAAATGAATAAATATTAAACGATTATCTCTAACATTTGATATACACACACACACACACACACACACACACACATATATATATATAAATATACACACACACACATATATATATATTAGGGGTGCAACGGTTCAACTTACTCACGGTTCGGTTTGTATCATGGTTTTAGAGTCACGTTTTCGGGACGGTTCGGTATGTGCTATGTTTAGGGAAAAAACTATATTGTCAAATAAACAAATAAACAGTGCTTTTCAGGATTTTTAGGTAGGTCTAACATAGTTTTTAGGTACAGAAATTGAATAAATCAAATGTAAAATAACATTGCATATTTGAGTGTATAAATTAAAGATTAATCCTTATTAAAGTTGCAAAAGTTATTCAAACAAGAGCAGTGAGTGATTTCCGTGTTGTTGCTGTTTGATTAATATAAAAAAATTGCTGTCACTTTAAGAGAACGCACTGATCCAGTGCACTGATACTGTACGTTCAGCCGGCTATGTTAAACACAGATAGCAACGTGTGCTGTTCAGGTCTCACCTGCGCTATCAACACGTGATGACGGCATAAATGACCAATTTATTTTTAATTTTTACAATTGATGTTATTCCAACATACAGCACTCGCATTGAACAAAGAGTGACTGGTTATATACACACACACACACACACGTATACACACACACAACAACGTACAACAGTCATTTTTGCGCGTATGCTTAAGAAAAGAGCTGCCTATATACACTACCAGTCAAAGTTTTTTGAACAGTGAGATTTTTAATGTGTTTTAAAGAAGTCTCTTCTGCTCATCAAGCCTGCATTTATTTGATCTAAAACAAAGCAAAATCAGTAAAATTGTGAAATATTTTTACTATTTAAAATAACGGCTTTCTATGTGAATCTATGTTAAATTGTAATTTATTTCTGTGATGTGCAGCTGTATTTTCAGCAACATTACTCCAGTCTTCAGTGTCACATGATCTTCAGAAATCATTCTAATATGCTGAATTGCTGCTCAAGAAGCATTATTGTTATTATTATCATCAATATTTAAAACAGTTGAGTAAATTTTTTCTTAGATGAACAGATAGATCCAAAGATCTTTCCATTCATCTGTGAATCCTGAAAAAATTATATTCGGCTGTTTTCAACAACAACAACAATAATAATAATAATAATAACAATAATGTTTCTTGAGCAGCAAATCAGCATATTAGAATCTTTTCTGAAGATCATGTGACACTGAAGACTGGAGTAATGATGCTGAAAATACAGCTTTGATCACAGAAATAAATTACAATTTAACAGATATTCAAATAGAAAGCCGTTATTTTAAATAGTAAAAATATTTCACAATTTTACTGCTTTTGCTGTGTTTTGGATCAAATGAATGCAGGCTTGGTGAGCAGAAGAGACTTCTTTAAAACACATTAAAAATCTCACTGTTCATAAACTTCGGACTGGTAGTGCAGACAGCAGGCCGTGTTTTAGAACGGAGTCGAAGCGTTCCTGCAAACACAGAGAAACACAGCTCTGGAGCACAGCAGAGATGACCGGCAGTGACCGGAGGAGTTTATCAGAACACAAAGCTCAAGGTGTGTTTGAGGAGAGCGACCTTTGCATACTTTGAGCTCCATTTTCTTCAGGATTCACCGTGGTCTGTAGTAAATCATAGGAGGCTCCTTCACTCTCTCTTTGTTTAAGTCAGAGATTTTCAGGATCAGCAGGACAGAAAATAATGAACGAGGCTCAGAGCTGATGGCTAAACACAAAAGCCCTCGGTTTGCATATCTGTAAGCGATAACGGAGCACAAGTACGAGCCGTCCTTCAGCGGGCGCTCAGGGTCAGCAGATCTCAGATCAGCGGACGAGTGTTTACGATACAGCACAGATTTGGCAGCGGCGTTCGAGACAGATGTTCCCGCCAATCTGTGCATCGCGGTTGCTAGGCAACGGCGAATGTGGAAGTAGCGCCTTTCCTCGTCCCCGCAGACAAAAAGCCCTTTTCAGTCGAACATGCATCGAATACTCGCATAACAGCGCTCAGCCGCACAAAAGAAAGCGTGTAGTAAAACACGAGTCTAACACGCAGGTTATTATGAAGGCAATATCCTTTTAGTGCAGCTGCTGCTGCTTTTGCTCTGGTTTATGAACATTCACAGACGAGGTTACATGAGCAAATGATGCCAATGTAACATCTTAATTCATGTTCCTGGCCTATAAAATTTATTGTCTGACTTAAAACAATTAAAAACAACAATATATATATATAAACCATTTAAATCATTATAATGAGCCTTTAATTGCCTTCAAAGCCAATTAAGCGCTCAAGCACACGTATAAAGCTCGCCACAGCGCACTGCAGAAGCTATGATTATGAATGTGTCAGGGAAAACAGTAAGGAGGCTGCATTAAAGGGGTCATATGATGTTGCTAAAAAGAACATTATGTTGTGTATTTGGTGTAATGCAATGTGTTTATGTGGTTTAAGGTTAAAAAAACACATTATTTTCCACATACTGTACATTATTGTTTCTCCTCTATGCTCCGCCTTTCTGAAACGAGTCGATTTTTACAAAGCTCATCGGTCTGAAAAGCAAGGTGTGCTCTGATTGGCCAGCTATC